CTTCTCAGGACCTGTTTATGTACTGCATGCAACAACATGTAATAAACTCCCTGGCTGCTATTATTTTTTTCAGAAAAGCAGCATCTAAAGGGGGTGGTTTGTAGCCAAGTGTCAGCACCAATGCAATTTCAAAGCCCATTTGGAAGACCTTAAATCTGGGGCAAACATCTGTGCTACCTTAGAGAGGATACTTTTCTATTTGAAGGCCTATCAGAGGGCAGTCCATTATTTAAAAGCAGCTCTGTTTCAAATATCATGTAATCCATGAACATTGAGTCCAGAGATGTCTTGGACTGCAACACTCAGAAATCCTGGCCAGCACAGCTGGTGGTGAAGGCTTCTGAGAGTTTTAATCCAAGAATATCTGGAGACACAAGGTTGGGAACTGTAATCTAGTCCGTGTTTGGTGTAAAGACAAAGAACTGTAAAGTGGAAGCACAGAAGCCTTGACATTGCTCACCCAGACAGTTGAGGTTTGGAAAGCAGATCAGGTGAGAGTACAGATCACCTGGGTGTTTCTAGACATATGGCTGTATCCACTACCCATCCAAATGCATGATGTAGTTACTCCATCTTTTCCTCCAGAACAGATGGTCTTTTTTGTGGAAGAAAAAAGACAGAAGCAACAGTAGGAAAACAAGGGAGGATTAGGGGTGGAAGACAATGATGCCTGGACCACCACCACTAAATTGATGAATGAGACTGACTGTTGCACCACAGAAGCCGAATCTGGAAGTGCCCTAGTCATTACCTTCCTTTCTGTGGTGGGATGCATTTATCTTTCTCTTATAATTTGATTTAAGTGCTAGCAATTATTCCTAAGTTCACATCTCTACAATTAAATTAGCATAAGCAAATAATGTCCAGATCTGTCTTCTGTTATCTTTTCTTTGACGAGGAATTTCCACTCTTGGGAAAGTGATGCTTAAACACTCATTTGCAGTGTACTTATACTTGCGTAAAAGATAGGTCCCAAGTCATTGCCAATTATTCAATCTGTTGGAGTAATCATATCAGCTCATTCTTCAGTCGTTCTACTCACGATCAACATGTATTTGGCTTGCTTAAATTTGCTCTCGTTTCTCTCAGGATACTCTGTGGAACTCTCAGGGACCTCTCATTCAAGCACTGGTTACATCTGTAGCTACTTAGCCTCAAACACAGAACTATGGTCATCAGGCATACTGGTCCCCACAGCAGAGCTTAAGAAATTGCTTTTCCTGGACAACAGCTCCCAGAAACGTGTCAGCAGATGGCCATCCTGGCTGAGGGATTTGGGGAGATGTAATAAAAACCATAATAAAAGACCCTGATGTTGGGAAATTGTGAAGGCAAGCTTAACGACTAAACAACAAAAATAAAAGCCAAACAAACAAACAAAAACCTCAAACTTTGCCTGAACAACCTATGATTGCAAGATTAGTGTACTTCCGTTTTTGGAGGTGTATGCATTTTATGGTAGATAATATATTCTTCTCTCAAAAATTAAGGGTATGAAAATGAACATTTAAAAAAACACCGACAGAAGTCACTTCTCATCCTTTCCTGACGTTTAGAAAAGTCAGGCTAGCAATATGTGAAGTGGAGACTATGGGCTTGCAATGAAGGTGCAAAAACTCAGACTTCATTGAAGAAAGTGTGTGTTCTCTGCTATGAAGTCAAAACTGACTTTGTTGTTGTTTAGTCGTTAAGCTGTGTCTGACTTTTCGTGCCCCCATGGACCAGAGCACGCCAGCCCTCCTGTCTTCCACTGCCTCCCGGAATTGGGTCAAATTCATGTTGGTAGTTTCAATGACACTGTCCAATCATCTCGTCCTCTGTCATCCCCTTCTCCTCTTCACACTTTCCCAGCATCAGGGTCTTTTCCAGGGAATCTTCTCCTCTTGTGAGATGGCCAAAGTATTGGAGCCTCAGCTTCAGGATCTGTCCTTCCAATGAGTACTCAGGATTGATTTCCTTTAGAATGGATAGGTTTGTTCTCCTTGCAGCCCAGGGGGCTCTCAAGGGTCTCCTCCAGCACCACAATTCAAAAGCATCAATTCTTCGACAGTCAACCTTCTTTATGGTCCAGCTCTCACTTCCATACATCGCTACTGGAAAAACCATAGCTTTGACTACGCGGACCTTTGTCAGCAAGGTGATGTCTTTGCTGTTTAAGATGCTGTCTAGGTTTGTCATCTCTTTCCTCACAAGAAGCAGGCGCCTTTTAATTTCGTGGTTGCTGTCACCATCTGCAGTGATCATGGAGCCCAAGAAAGTAAAATCTGTCACTGCCTCCATATCTTCCCCTTCTATTTGCCAGGAGGTGGTGGGACAAGTGACCATGATCTTAGGGTTTTTTTGATGTTGAGCTTCAGATTATTTTTTGCACTCTCCTCTTTCACCCTCATTAAGAGGTTCTTTAATTACTCCTCACTTTCTGCCATTAGAGTGGTATCATCTGCATGTCCGAGGTTGTTGATATTTCTTCTGGCAATCTTAATTCCAGCATGGGATTCCTCCATTCCTGCCTTTCGCATGATGTATTCTGCATATAAATGAAATAAGCAGCGAGACAATATATAGCCTTGTTGTACTCCTTTCCCAATTTTTAACCAAATCAGTTGTTCCATATCCAGTTCTAACTGTTGCTTCCCCTCCCACATATAGATAAGGTGGTCAGGCACTCCCTTTTTCTTTAAGAACTTGCCATAGTTTGCTGTGGTCCACACAGTCAAAGGCTTTTGCGTAGTCAATGAAGCAGAAGTAGCTGTTTTTCTGGAACTCTCTAGCTTCCCCCATAATCCAGCGCATGTTAGCAATTTGGTCCCTAGTTCCTCTGCCCCTTCAAAATCCAGCTTGTACTTCTGGGATTTCTCAGTCCACATACTGCTGAAGCCTACTTTGGAGGATTTTGAGCATAACCATGCTAGCGTGTGAAATGAGTGCAATTGTACGGTAGTTGGATCATTCTTTGGCACTGTCTATCTTTGGGATTGGGATGTAGACTGATCTTTTCCAACCCTCTGGCCACTGCTGAATTTTCCAAACTTGCTGGCATATTGAGTGTAGCAGCTTAACAGAGTCATCTTTTAAGATTTTAAATAGTTCAACTGGAATGCCATCACCTCCACTGGCCTTGTTGTTAGCTATGCTTTCTAAGGCTCACTTGACTTCACTCTCCAGGATGTCTGGCTCAAGGTCAGCAACCACACTATCTGGGTTGTCCGGGATATCCAAATCTTTCCGGTATAATTACTTTGTGTATTCTTGCCCCCTCTTCTTGACGTGTTCTGCTTCTGTTAGGTCCCTACCATTTTTGTCCTTTATCATGTCCATCTTTGCACAAAATGTTCCTTTAATCATGTTGTTTCCCTTCTCTTCTCTGCTATTTGTAAGGCCTCGTTGGACAGCCACTTTGCTTTCTTGAATTTCCTTTTCTTTGGGATGGCTTTTGTTGCTGCCTCCTGTACAATGTTACAAGCTTCCATCCATAGCTCTTCAGGCACTCTGTCCACCAAATCTAGTTTAAATCTGTTCTTCACTTCTACTGTGTATTCATAAGGGATTTGGTTTAGAACATCAAGAAAACTAAGATCATGGCCACTGGTCCCACCACCTCCTGGGAAATAGAAGGGGAAGATATGGAGGCTGTGACAGATTTTACTTTCTTGGGCTCCATGGTCACTGCAGATGGTGACAGCAAGCACGAAATTAAAAGGCGCCTGCGATGACAAACTTTGACAGCATCTTAAAAAGCAGAGACATCACCTTGCCAACAAAAGTCTGAATAGTCAAATCTATGGTTTTTCCTGTTGTGATGTATGGAAGTGAGAGCTGGACCGTAAAGAAAGCTGACCACTGAAGAATTGATGCCTTTGAATTATGGTGCTGGAGGAGGTTCTTGAGACAGAGACAGAGGATGAGATGGCTGGAGAGGGTCTGCGAAGCAACCAACATGAATTTGACACAACTCCGGGAGGCAGTGGAAGATAGGAGGGCCATCACTCTACCTACTACAGCACATAGGGAATCCTACTGAAGAAACAACGGGCTCAACATGAGGAATGTTCAGACAAAGAGAAGTATGGTGGGAACGGCTGTTTCTTCATTGATAAGGGGCATAGTCAAGTCCTTATGGACCTGAACTTTCAAAACGGATGAACAGATAGACTGAGTCTGGATGATTAACCCAGTTTCTGAGGATGGTTTCTGATTATCACCTCTTTCCCCTTCGCTGGCATATCCCCATGATCCCTCTGTATTTTCCCCTTTCCTATATGGATTCTATGAGCCAGTCAAAATGAGCACACTTCAAAATACACTGGCCCTGTACAAAGTAAGACATTGCTTATTGAAATAGTTTCATAACAAAAAGCTGCAGTTTTTAGCTGAAGAGCATTCAAAAATGTTAATAATGAAATCCATAGTCTGATCTTGTGGAACAGACAGCCTTACCTGATTTTTCTGTCCATAATAACTACAGCTTCAAATATATACACCTGGGTGCTTTTAAATGCTGCATCCAAGCAGCTTATTGAATAAGAAAGTGTGTGAAGGAATTTTGTTAAAAACAGAAAGAATATGGACGATAATCCTGCACAGAAGGTTGTGATATAAAATTCTGATTTTCTTGTTGCAGTACTAAAGGGCATGGGAGAGTATGTCTATGAAAAAAATTGAGTATCCCAGAGCAGAAAGCTTTACAAATTACCATAACCTTTGAAATAAACATGATTGTCACTTCTGAACTTATGTGAACTTGCTGTCACTCCAGTATTGTTTGAATACACTTGGAAAGGGAAAAAATGTGGGCATCCATTCCGAAGTTGTCATACTGTATTTCTGTTGTAGGAAATACAAGAAGGTAGCTTAGGGAAGAGTCTACTCAAAGTGAAGCAGACACAGCCAGGTAAAACCATTATTTTATTACATTAGTTGTTCTTGATAAATGAGAAGATCCTAAAGCATTCAAGCCACAGGAGGCTCTCCTTGAGAAAGAAGTGAAAAGACGATGCAGTGCATGACAGTAACATAAATCAGAGCTTACGTGCAAACCAAAGTCATTAATAGGGCATAATTTTGTTAGATAATTATAAGAAGATATAAGCGAAGGGCACACCAAACAACTTTCTGAAGAGTCTGCACATATTTATTTGTGTAAGTTCCACTGAACTAAGTGGTGCTTCCTTCTTCTGAGTAGGCACGTATATCAGGCCTTGGAAACCTTTCTGTACCCAGATGTTTAAGACTAGTAGCCCCATACTCCCACAGCTGGTCACACTGGTTGGGGTTAAGAGGAGTTGACGTCCAACATGTCTTAAGGGTCAAAGGTTCTTTCTCTACAGGCACTGCCAATGACCACTTCCAAACTATAATTTACAGAACTCAAAGAGCAGCTTGTACAATGGAAAATAGGGGTCTTAATGCTGCCCACACCACCATCCCAACCTCAATGATAGATTTTGACCATAATGGCTGTTCTAATGCGCCAGGTCATGGAAGGACAGTTATGGTAGCCTTTAAGGGAAGAGTCTCCTTGATCCCACTTGTGTAACACTGTATGTTTCTCTACCAGCATTCGGTAAGTACGATGACTGATACTCCACCAGGCACATCTTTCCTGAACATTGGTGATAAATGTTTATGGATAAGAAGTGGTCAATCATGCTCTCAATATGTCCTGTGAATATGTTAGAGTTGAGGTTATCAACTGGAGGTCCCAGGGTCAATTTTGTCCCACCAAAGGACTGTCAACTGGCCCTCCAGTTGTCAGCACAGAAACAGAAGAAATGACAAAGTGGTCACTAGGAGTGTAGTGAAGCCAGGGCTCTGATCAGCAGGAACTATGATATTATCTCTACCCTTCTGAGACTCCTCCACTCCCTCTGAGCTTAGCTACCTCACAGTAGCTGGGAAAGAAATGAATTTTCTTACACTCATAATGTTGTTGCACCTTATCCCTGCTGTAATGCAAAGTACCTGGAGGAAATTGGCTCTTGAATCAACAATTAACTTTACAAAAAAAATCCCACTCCTCAATTGTTGATATCCACCAATATAGTTGCCTGCATTTTTGGCTCTCTGAGAGGGCTTGGCAACAGGACAGTCCTGAAGAGCCTTACACTTCCAAATTTACCACTATATCAGTTGCTGACCAAGGTAGGAAAGCATTTGTATGGCAAGCTACATTATCCACCCACTCACCCACCCAAACTCTTCCCCATTTAAATTGTGGCATTGTCTCTATCACAGTCATTTTTTTAAAAAAATGCACATGTAAGTTCCACTTGTCATGAAGGTGTGAAAGGAGAAGCAAGTGTTCTGAGCACACCAAACTCTCCATTGGACAGGGGAAAAAAGCTTGTTCTGGGAACATAATTAATAGAAACGGCCATTTTATGATACTTGACAATTTTCCCCCAGCTTAAAAAAAAAAAAAAAGATTCCATGAAATATCAAGCTCTAATTAAAATGAAAGTTCACAATACTCCAGAGACTGAAACCTTTTAAAGATAGTCCCAGTTTCAAAGTAATAAGTCATAAACACATGCAAATAAGGAAGGACAATATGACCCATGACTTCTCTTTGGACTCACTCTATCAAACTTGAATAATCTCTTCTGTGCTTTGAAATTTTTTTATTGTTTTGTTTGATGCCCAGTTACTAGTCAGGCATATAGCCAGTTCAGTACTAGAACTGGGGAGAGAAGACGATTTGGGGGAAAGAAAAATAACATACATGGACCTCTGATCATCACAGTCTTGCACAAAGGCCTCCAAAATGTAGGTATAATGCCTGGAGAAAAGTATTCTTGTGATGTTCCCCTCCCTTTCAGTGGGGCTGCTGAGAAAGAATATCCCAATGTGTTGTGCTCCGGTTTTCAAATCCAGGACAGTTTAGTATATAACAAATTCCAATTTTCTCATTTTTGAGGACAAAAGGAACCTTGACAAATCAAGAGACCCAGCGAAAAATGGCTAATTGCTGCAAGGCTTTTCTCCCTCACATGAGGGTGGAGAGACCAGCATATTTTTTTCATCAACAGCAGCATTATTAGCAAAAGATGTATGCTTTTGGACAAAAAAAATTGCATTAAAATCATTTGTGCAGAATACATTTCGTTTTCCTGCAAAAAATCCAAAGTTTTTGTGGGCAACCCCTCCTCGGAATTTGTCACAAATGCCAAAATGTGAGAAATGCACAAAACCTCTTGTAATCTACCCCAGAAAGAATAAAACATTTTCCTCGTTCTCAGCTGTGAAAATGAAACCTGTAAAGATTTACATTCCTTCTTTGAGGAACAATAGCAGAATTGCATTGGGTAGCTTCTATAAAAGAAAACAGGGGAAATAACCTAATTCAAATATACGCACAGAATGTAGCATTCGCCCTTTGGATTATGACTCTTGGTATGATACTTTTTATAATGAAGTTCCTGAAATATGGGGAAGGGGGAATGCAAGTAGACAGGGTCTTTACACAGCATTTTGAATATTGATGTCCAGCTCCCCGTAGACATGTCGCAAGGCATCGCAATTCAAGCTTGCAATCAGCTTTCGGGGACCGGCCCTCTTCGGAATGCATTTTTCTTCCCATGTCAAGGTAGAATTCTTTGGAACCTCTCTGCAATAGGAAGAAAACTGTAAACATAGTGCAGAGGAGACATAAATCTTATACATGAGCTGGTGCCCTGGCAATGGAAAAGATAAACCATCTTATAGAGGACAATCCTGAGGTTGGAAAAGTTTCATTTTTTGTTTGTTTGTTTGTTTTTTAACATAGCTCCCCAAATTCATATCCATATAACCAGCAGCCATGCTGGCTGGTGAATTTTAGGAGATGTAGTTTTTAAAAAAGTAACTTTTCTAATTTCTAAAGCCTTCAAGAATACAACTTTTCTAATGTCCCGAGACATCCTGTCATACATTCCGGTTTCACCCATAAAAGGAAAAATCTAGATATAATAAGATGTCTTCAGAAAATTCAGAAATCTTAGCCAAAGACACCATTTCTGATTCGATAATCCAGGATTAGAGATGGTAAGCAAACTTGTTAAAATCCCTTTTCTCATCAATTCTGGCTTTCTCAACATAACACCTCAGTGAGAAATTTTACAGCCTCATTAAATTCCTTACCTCAAGTGAGATAAACCACTCCCTTCCACCCACCACTGGCCATCATCTCTGTAATTTGTGTGAGCTGTCTCTAATGAACTTTCCAAAGTGTGCACCCACAGAGAAAGCAAGCATAGAAAGGCTGGGTGATTGTTAGAAAACCTACAAACAGCCCATTTAGTGCTTTACATTCCCAAATAAAGAAGTAGTCATCCTAGTTTGGGGCAATTTGCATACTTTTGCACCAAAAGTGGGCATTGTTACTTGAAAAAAAAGACACTTTAAATGCAAAACAGAGTGGTCATCAACATGAGAACTCTACCAAAAGCCTCAGGAAATTCCTCAGCATCCTTGCCTGCAAGGAGAACAATGTTCTTAATAAACTTTAACAACATGAGTTTTCTGTTTTTTTCTTTAACTGGAGTGTAAAACAGCTTGTGGGCAGAAGTGTTCAGATCAGAACTGCACTATTAGAAGAGCTTTTTCTTGAACATTTTTGTGTCATGCCATTTTCCTCAGACAAACCCAATCCAAGCTACCACTTGACCCCTACGTCTCTGTTTTGCTTCCCAGAGCAAACAGCAGCTTTGGTGAGGCAAATTCCTCCCCCAGTGTCATCGCCCCATTCTCAATTCAAAATCTTTTGATTTAAGTGAAATATGTGAACCATGGTAGGAGATCCCGTTTACAGATCTACATGGTATCTACTTTAGCCCTTATATCCATGATAACAATTAATGATCTTTTTATTTTATTTTTTAATGATTCTATTCTCATGCCAGCTCTACTATCAGAATTAAATCAAAATAGCCAGCCTGGCTAGGTGACAACCTGAGCAAGATGGTGTCAGCTTGGCCCTCTGGTTAGATTGTTTTACAATAAACCCAGAAAGACTCTACTGCAGAAGACTGGATGGAATACTTCCAATGGGACCTGGTCAAGAGTGAATATTTTAAAACCCCAGAATATGTATATCCCAGAGGAAAAAGTGTATTTAAAAAAACTGCTAATGGAATAAAACAGAACTAATTCCATTTGCCTAGAGTCACCTTAGTGATGGATTATTCTCAGTAATGTGCCATGCCATCAACATGGACAGGTCATTTATCATTTTCCATAGAGGGAAGCAAATCAGATTAATAATTTAAATAATTTGCAATGATTTGTTTTCTATCTGTACAATTTGCCAGTTCCACCCGGCCAAAGATAAGCTTGATCAAGGCTATTTATTTTATTTATTTTAAAGCACTTAAAATGCCCTGCCTTGCCTCTAAAGGGTTCAAGGTGGCTTGCAAGAAAATCAAGAATTAATCAGTTCACAACAGCATATCATTTATGACAGCACAAAAAACAGTACCAGAAAACTAACACTTTGGTAAAAAAAATTTAAACATTTTATAACAATTTTTCAAAAATAATGAGAAAACCTACAGAGTAAAAACAGCCAGTGCCTTCCTGCAGCCATCAAATAGGACCATTTCCTGGTCTGAACTAAAGATACCTCAGATATTGTGGAGACATAAAGGAAGGTTTCCAAGATGGTGTCAAGAAGTGAGCAGCTTCATAGGGCCTCAAAACTCCTGTGGCTAGTTTAGGTACCCACCCTCTCCAGCCAGATGAAGGTGACATCAAGAGGGTACTTTAGACCCTCATTAACACATGATGTCATAGACCCCTCATTCATCCATGACATCAGTGTTAATTGTTCATTTTCCTGTGAATGTATAGTTTGAAAAACCATTGTCTTAACCACAGTTACAAGGTCTTCTCTTACCTGAAAAGTTTTGAGATTGGTTTCAGAAGACCAGGCCCGTCAAGTCGGCCCCAGATGTTGGTGAGATTCTGTTTCAGTGGGTTGGTGAATTCCACTATCACTGTCATGTCTTTACCAACTACTTTCTCTCCAGGAACCTACAGAAGGAATGCAAATTAAAATAAAACAAACTGACCAGCACCAGTATCCTATCTGGACCAAAAAAGTAATTGTGTAAGAATCCTCTCTGTTCCAGCAGGTCCTCCATCGTACAGTTGATCAAACAACCAGTATGAGACCAGGCATGCAAATGGGAGTCTGCCAAAACAAGAACAGTTTTGCGATAGCCCGTCAGCTCTGCATTTCCTGAGTGGGATGCTTGGCACTGTATTATTTACAACACCCCTCGTACCCTCTAGATGTATTAGATTATAATTCAGATCATCCCTACCCAGCATAACCTAGTATTATTGTATCATATATGTCCTGATTAAGACCATAGTAGACTACAGCTGTTGAAGGTAGTTTTGAAGCTGGTGCAGAATGAATCCAGCTGTCTGGCGCCTTGTAGAATCCAGGCAACTGGAGTGTAAAACACCTGTTTTATACCAGTTTCCCTAACTGCCAGTTTGCTTCAGGGCACAACACAGAATGGTTTGGAACCAATTTATTTTGCTCTGGTACCATCCTGTCAGAGATGTAAGATTGACCTCTACAGGCTCTGCTTGAGGGTACATAAAAAAGTATTACCTTTCCAGGCACTAGACAGTGAGCCTTTTCAGTTTTGGCCCTATGCTTATGGATCTCCTTTCCCAGGTGGATACATATTACCACTATACTAAATGGTCCCTGAAGATGTTGTTGATCAGCACTGCTTCTAATAGATACTTTAGTTCTGAGTTTTATGGTTCCTGTTTCAATTCCTGATGTTTGTTATATAATTCATTATTTATCTGCTGGAATTTACTAGCTGCTAATATGATATCTGCTGTTACAATATCTTCAGGTGAACCTAAAATGGTAGCCGAAAGTTTCACCCTCCTCTTTATGGTTGCGTTGGCAGAGGAAAGGAGAGGAGGGTGAGTGCATGAACACAGGAAAAGGCTAGGCTTGTTCTGATAACACTAAATCATAGTTTAGCATTCAGTATGAACCCAGCTTTTGGATTAAAATTCCTTTTCCTTCTGGTTTGGTCAGAAATACCTAATATATTTTAAAATAAGCTAGGCATGTCATATTCCCTCAGTGCAACACACTAATGTAATAATTTTTTAGACCTTGAAGTTGAAGCATATATTACTTGTGTTCTTCTCTTCCTTGTAGTGAAAGAATCTTGGCTTTGTAGCAATCAAGACACTATGAGTTAATCACATACTATGCAAATGGATGGTTATATGTCAGATGTCAGATGTCTGATCTCGAGCTAGGCATATCATATTCCCTCAGTGCAACACACTAATGTAATAATTTTTTAGACCTTGAAGTTGAAGCATATATTACTTGTGTTCTTCTCTTCCTTGTAGTGAAAGAATCTTGGCTTTGTAGCAATCAAGACACTATGAGTTAATCACATACTATGCAAATGGATGGTTATATGTCAGATGTCAGATGTCTGATCTCGTTAAACATGGCTTCAACACAAGTATACAAAGGATGGATGAATAAGAAATTTATACAGTATTGCCAAGTTTTTTAAAGGCTCAATTTCACCCCATTCTGTACTCCCAGAAAGAACATAAAAGTGGACAGAATTTGTGCTTAGAAGGCCAGACATTGCCAGACCTATGATGCGTTCAGTGAAAGAAAGAAGAAATTTAACAACATGTGCATACTTGAAAGATGCACAATACACACCGTAGTCATTTCTAAAATATGGACAAACATGCAATAGGGGCCTTAATGCCTGTATTTGAGAAATTTGCACAAACTTAAGTGAACATTTCAGGAGGAAAAATTAAAATCTGCACAGAAGGTTAATGGAACAGACTTGGAAGTGGGAAAAGGAGAAAGTCCATGGAAAGAGACATTACAGGTCTGTTCATCCTTATAAAGGAACCCCACGGGGCAGAACACAGCCTCCTTCTCCTCTCATTCCCTTGCTAACTTGATTGCATGGGTGAATGCACAGACAAAGAAATAAGGGTATAAGATGGGTGTGCTGTACATACCTCACACCTGTCTTCAGTGTATTTGCACTCTAAGTTATAACCTGCTATGAATTTCTCACAGATACTAAGAGTCCAATGGGTTGTTTCAATACCATTAACATTGGTCTCAGAAAAGCTATGGAAGTATAACAACAATAGAAGAGTGACAGTCAAATCTAGGGTGGCCGGTAGTCAAATGTCTAGCAGTAAATCAATGACTGACATTCAGAGCAACTGTAAGTACAGTAGAGCCAATGGCAAGGAAGCATTCTAGGATTATGAGATGAAGAGAGTGAGCAATGACATCACAAGTTCTAATTTCTGATTCCCTTGTTCCGAATTTCCATCAAATTTGGATTCCCTACTGTCTGAAAACAGTAGTTTAGATCACCATTACAGAAAATAAGAATGTAAAGCCCTTCTATCATTGGTACAGTGATGAGGTATAAGCAGCCAGCTGAAGAGAGATCCTGCTCATGGATAGTATGGGAGGATCTGAACAGTCAGTTGAGGAAATAAATCAACCGATGCAGACCAAATTGCTCTCTTATGCCGGAGAAATACATGATAGAGAAATCCATGCAGAGCAGATATGAAGGTTCGTGAACAGAGATGAAGTGGCAAATGATACTTCCATTTCCCAGTCTTCAAACATTTACTTCCTTCCCTCCCTTCCTCCCTCCCTTCCCATCAGAGAATTGAAAGCTGGATGAGGCAAAATGCCATAGAATGCCAGCATGCCTTTCAGATGCTGGAGAGAAATACAGTATTATGTTATGCCCCAAATACTGTATATGGTACTGATAATTGTGATTAGAAAAGGGAATTCATTAAATATTGAAAATATAGGATAGTCACAACAGGATATATCTCCTTTAGTTTGTAAATAATCTTGCTCTGTTTTGTGAATAGTTATCAGGAGGCAAGCTTTGTTTCCAAATATGCCTGCTCATTCATGGCAGTCTACCTGGATCATGTCTCTAGAACACTAAGAAGTTTGAGCTTAAGAGGAGGCAAATTTGATGGCCCGTAACAATAATGATGGGATATCTGTAACCTACAGTTTGACCCAGAGAGTGAGAAACAAAAAAGCAGTTGAGTATGTGCATTGGAATGAGATGTTTGACCAGTGGGACAACAGGCAAAATACTATAGTACGTTGCACTCCAGCTGCTTTCTTCTGAAATATTCTGCTGATAAACCAGAAGTGAATGGCTGTCCTCGTAATAACCTGGGAAAGACAAAATATTATCTAAGGACACTGTTGATAAACATATGTCTTGGTTAATTAGACACAGGAAGGCTGCAACTGAAGCAGAGCTTTCAAAACTTACTTTGATGTTTAATGGAAGACAGCCATTGTCCATCAAACTTTCTGTGGCCCTGGTCATATGAGGGAAATATTTTCTAGTTCTTCCAATACTTTCCATATTTCTGTTGCCCTGAATTGTGGTCACATGGTTTATATCCCAGGAGGAACGTCCCAAGAACTTTTAGCAGTACTGATTTATTTCCTCCTATTTGAATAATCATGGCCGGCTGCACCATGGTACCAGTTTATTTTTTTTCTCTTGCTTCAAGGGAACATTGATCGGGAAGGGGTTTCTGTTCAGGAAAACGTCCCTTTCTTGCACTGGATGCTCCTGCAGAAATGCATCACACACAATGGACTTGGGATGTCCGTGCGGCAGGACTGGCCAACATCCTCTCATGAAATGGGTATAACAATGTTTCAATGTATCTTCCCATAGGGAAAAAAATCATTAGTCACCAGTAATGTAATGTACATACTTTTGTTAGTGCACCAAGGTATCAGACATGAAAAAAAGAGAGAGTGTACTGCAGTAATGGCGGCTACCTTCCTGACTGGAAAAAATCATTACTCACCAGTAATGTAAAGGCAGTGCCCCTGCCTGACGTACTTTTGTTAGTGCATCAAGGTATCAGACACGAAAAGAGAGAGAGTGCACTGCAGTAATGGCGGCTACCTTCCTGACTTCAAGTCTGAAATGAGGCAGGGCAGGTTGTGCACAAAGGCAATCCTGGTAAGGAATGCACCGGTACAACCAAGATACAAAATGGGGAAATGTTCCGCAGTTACACCACTGGCTGGGAAAACGTCTCGATCTTGACTGTGCGTCTTGTGACACCTCCCCAAAGGCAATAAACTAACTGGGGGATAACTGGAGAACATTCCCCTCATGTCACCAGGGCCTGAGCTTATATTTCTGTACAGCTTTGTTAGATTTGTCTTCTTCTGGAACCTGTCTGCTGTAGAATTCACTATCCGCAAGAGACAATGACGGCTATCGATTTGGATTGTTTTATAAAAGAATTCATGAAGACTAGAGCTTTCAATAGCAGATACATATTCTCACACATGAGAGGTGGTCTGCTTTTGTACAGAGCCAGTGTAACGTAGTGCTTAGAGTGTTGGAAACTTACTGGGAGGGTGACAATGGCAACCAGAAGGATTCTACTGGAGTCCTGTCCTGCTTGTGAGCTTCCCATGAGCAACAGCCATTCTCAACAGGGGCCATGGCATATTGTTTCCAGCCTGTGGATAGGGTCCACAGGCTGGAATTTTTTTTCACACACCACATTATGAAGTTCATTATACAACTTATACAGAGATGATTTGGCCTATAGTTCTTTCCTCTTACAGTGGACCCTCTACTTACAGAATTAATCCGTATTGGAACGGTGGCTGCAAGTCGAAAAGTCTGTAGGTTGAATCTCCATTGACCTACAATGCATTGAAAACCGATTAATCCCATAACTGGCAGTTTTTATTCTATTTTTGTTCCATTTGGGGTTTTTTTCTGGTATGTAAGTCGATTCTTCGGCTGCAAGTCGAATCTAAATTTTGCGGCCAGAGAAGTCTGTAACTCGAAAAGTCTGTAAGTCGAGCCGTCTGTAAGTTGAGGGTCCACTGTATGCCTATAGGTAAAGGTAAAGGTTCCCCTTGACAATTTTTCTAATCATGTCTGACTCTAGGGGGCAGTGCTCACCTCCTTTTCCAACTCATAGAGCTAGCGTTTGGCTGAAGATAATCTTCTTTCTTATGCCTATGGCCATGGCCAAAAAAAAAAGGTTGACAATGGCTGGACCAGAGAGTCTTTGACCTCATGCATGCTATATGTTGTCATGTTGCTTCTGACTTATGGTGGCCCTATGAATTAGTGACCTCCAAAAGATTCTGTCATTAGTGGCCTTGCTCAGGTCTTGTAAACTACAAGCGGTGGCTTTCCTGATTGAACCAATCCACCTTGTCTTCATTTTCCCCTACAATCTTTTCTTAATATCATTGCCCTTTCTAGTAAGCATTATCTTCCCATGATGTGCCCAAAGCACAATACCTTCAGTTTAGCCATTTTAGTTTCTACAGTTGGTTCATACTTTGCTTTGGGATTTTTTTGGGGTGGTGGTGGTTTACAAAGCTCTCCTCAAAACTACATTTCAAATTAATCTAATTTTTTCTGTTGACTTTCTTCATTGTCCAACTTTTGCATCCATATATAGTAATCAGGAATAGCAGCCTCAACCTTGGTGGCCAATTAAACATCCTTGCACTTAAGGATCTCTTCTAGTTCCTACACGGCTGCCCTTTCGAGTCTCGGTCTCCTTGTAATTTCTAGATTACAGTCTCCACTTTGCTTAACAATTAAATTAAGGTACAGAAAATCTTAATGCTTTCAATTTCTTTATCATCTGTTCATTAAAATTATATAATTCCTGCTTTTGCACTTTGTTCCTTAACCTGCCCAAGCAGTCATTTCAGATCGTTGTTACATTATCTCTACTGATAATTGTAACACCATCTGCATATCTTAAATTACAGATATTTTCCTCCACTTTTCACTTTTCCTTCATCTGAATCTAGTCATGCTTTCTGTCTGATATGTTCTGCATATACTGTATAAAGCACAAACTGATTTTCTTCCGTGATTCTTTAGTATGGTCCAAATAATACAGTCATGTTCTTACATCACTATATTGTTATTGCCTGGATTAGGGATGCAGGCATTTGGCAGCCCTAGGCAAAGTGTTACCATAAGATTCCCTTCCATATTGGATTCCAGAAATCTTGGGGCTTCCTTATTTATCTCTCCAAATCTCTGTCTTGCCAATGCCTGTATTCTGGACCATTCTTTATATTCATTATATCAACAACTGGGAATCCACCTTTGCTGCTCCCTTTCTTCCACAGAGACATTGCTTCTGATTCCCAGTGAGCTAGTGTAGTGGTTATAGCACAAGATAAGACAGGCAGGCACACCATATTTCTTTTAACCAGGAAGGCTTGAAACAATGATGTTTGGGGTAATATAGCAAATCTTCTGGGGACTGGAACTGGAACAGTAACTCTGAGAAATGCCCCCTCCCCAGGTATACCACTTCATGTGTCATTCAGATGTTAAAAGGGTGAGAAGGAAGAGACACAGGAAGAAAGAAAAGGACAAACACCTCCCTCTTCTGTTGCTCCTCCATGTGTGCCAAGGTCAAGGGGGTCTTTCGGTGAGGCTGGTGGCTTTGGTGGGACAAGGGGAAACAGGAGGCGGTAGAGGGAGATTACAGATCTTTCTCTCTGAATGCTTGGGTTTGGATCTGAGTAAGCAGAATTCAGAAAGCTGGAAGATTGCCCCCTCCCCTTTGCGGCATAGTTTGTTACTAAGGGAAGAAACAGACATTATAGATAGCCCATAATTGAACCTGAATGGGCAATATACATAACCTGTAAGAAGAGCTTAACAAGTAAATCGAGTACTCAGTTTGCTGGGGGTGGGGGGCAGTGTGTAGCCTGGATAATTAAAATATAAACTGCTCAGAGAGTGCTTTGAGTGCTTTGGGGTGGTATGTAAGCAGCACAATTCGCTTTTTGGTTTTGCTTTGAAGACCGATCACAAAACAAAGCAAGCTAATGTGCGGACTCCGGGAGGTGAGAGAAACTCATGCTGTAAGACTCACACACTACCAGCCCTTAAAGATTTTTTCTTCTTCTAAAGACAGACTATTTATAATGCTTGTTTCTACTCTGAGCAAGGTTCAGACAAAGTCCTCTTGTGCCATTCCTACTTGGGACATGTTTGCTCCTGCATCCACAGTACAGATACTTGTATGGTGAGTAGAAATGTTGGACAAAGTCTGGAAAAACTTGGCCATTGAGTTCATTGGGTGGCTTGGGACACCAGAATGAGTCTTGCCATAACCTACCTCTCCGGGTTGTTGTGAAATCATAATGGAGAGGAGGATCCTGTAATGCCACCTTAGGCAGCTTGAAGGAAAGGAGAGACAGAAATGTAGGAAGTAAACAAATAGAGCATTAAAAAATACTCAAAATTGATCAAAATACATCACCATATGGGCTCAAATGCAAAAGGCATCCAGAATCAGAGTATTTCTGTTGTTGTCCCTGCTTGTTGGTATCTCCTGAAACTAACCTTAAGGAGCAGCTGGGGGATTTTCAGCGTAACACTTTTTTGCCGGGCCAGGATCTTTTCTGTTTCGTTGACACGGGCCGTGACGAAGAAATGCAGAGAGGCTTGTTCCACCAACTTGCTCATATATTCTCTCGATTTGATTAGCACCTCGACAGTCTGAGCTGACAGGAGGAACAAACAAACAGAGAAACACAGCTGAATCCTGAAAGCAATAGAATTGTTATTTATTACTTCCAGCCCTGCTGATACTGTACTGCTCATAGGCCATCAGATGTAATGAGAATGCAGCTTGCTTGGAGAGAGGTTGAACATTTTCAAAGGCACCAAGAAGCATCCAGATACAGAACCATGGCTCATTTCATTTCTCTCTCCTTCTCCCCCCCCCCCCGACCCTCCAGCTACAGTCAAAATATATTAGTATTGGGGACTAGGACTTATTTAAAGATTTAGAGCTCAATCCCATTATCTAAAAAAAACCCACCATTGAAATTGAGTTCAGCATGTTAGAGGGCAATTTAAATTTGAGTGTTTACATGAGAAATGTGCAAGCCCAGATACGTCTGAGAGGGGGTTGTGTTATTTTCAGAGGCAGCACGTTTTTCTGCTCCTCTGCCAGAGGTCCACTGGTTTAAACACGAATGTGGAATCAATTCATTGAAATCGATTTCACATGTATGAACACCTCTGTTCCCGTTTTTAAAAATGCCTGCTATTTTATACAGCGCTATACCGGAGAGCAAAAATTAAACCATAACAACAGCCCAGCATCACCACCCATCATCTGGTTGGCACGGTGCCTCCTCAGCCCCATCAATCTGGCTTTGCTGTGCTGCCCGGATGCTGTGGCCAGGAGCCAGTTGAAAGCAGCAGTGGCAGCAAAGCCTGTGGCTGAGGAGGGGCCACACCAGCTAGCCGTCTAGGAGAAAGAAGCTGGGCTACTTTTAATTATGAGAAATTGCTTCAGAATTGTTCCACCCTTTGGAGAAATTCCCTGAAATTGTTCCTTCCCTAGTTTCTCTGTTCAGAAATAGGCTCTTAGGGGATATATTCATGTATACTCTAGTTTTGGCATGATACATTTATTCTCCTCCGTGCCTGTCCTGTTCTTTTATAGGGACTGGCAGCAGGAGGAATGGGAATCCTTCACCAGTAGATTATGTGGTTTATGGGAATAAGGTTCTAGGGCAGCTTCTCAACGTCTGGGGTCTCTATATGTGTATCCTTAGACCTTGAAGGGCTGCTCCCATCCCCCACTCCCAAACTTTTTCCTTTATCATTAGGTATATGGCTGTGGAGCCAGAGGTTGGGAGTCTGATTCCCCACTAGGCGTTCTTGATGGGCTGGACTTGATGATCCTTAGGGTCCCTTCTGGCTCTGTAGCTCAAAGATGATGTTGATGACGATGACGATGACGACATTGGGCCCCTGGAATATGGCCTCTGGACACTCACCAATCACCCTTATTCTAACAAGAGAATCCAAAATATATTTACTCAGAGGTGATTCCTCTGGACTTTATTGTGACTTACTTCCTAGAACATGCATTTGGATTCCAGTTTAAATTGGTGTAGTCAAACAGAAACTATTCCTTTTTCCTGTATCAATGTACTCAGTGTGGAAATAAGTACACATACACACATGGACACACCCAAACCTGTCCAAGAACTAAATACCTCTCTTTGCTCTGGAGATGACTAATTGTAATTTACATACAGCTTGAAATATTGATCAGTTTGGGATGAAGAAGATCACATTTATCATGCTGGAGGATCTGGAAACCAGCTTGCTAATAATTTTTAATAATTTTTTCCCTTGCATTCACTGATGTTGTGTTGCTTTGTTAATTACGTAGAAAAGCCTGCTGTTTGAAAGCAACCTCATAAAGGCATTTGCAGGCACCAGAGCTCTCCAACAGGGTACTGAACTACTTCACTTCTGTACTGTACTGACCACACAGGCAGCTTAGTTTGCTTTCCACTGATTTGGCAGTGTAAAGAGTACTGAAGTGAAGAACTTTAGTGAAGAAATGGTAACTGCAGCAAGCTGCAGCCATCTGACCTAATAGCAGGGCTGTTCATATCCGCTGGTTTATTCAGTGGGGGAAAGGAAGTCGGGGAAAGGTCCTTCTCAAAGGTCTAGAAAGAGTAAGAACAGTTGGTTCAGGGAGTACTGCCTGATGAGATGGTCAAATGGTTACTGTCTTTTTTCTCTTTTAAACCTTAATGAAGGGCAAGCCACTGCATGCAGCAGCTTACTGCAAGCCAATTAAGTCTCTCACATAGGGACAGCCATTTTCTTCTTCTTCTTTTTCATACAGTAGCTCTCGGAACCACATTTTATCACCTAGTGATGTTCTCACCACTATAGTTAAAAGATTTTTTTTTCATTGGCTGGCAGTCTGCTTGTGAATGCAATATTTTTTTCCTTGTAAGATGAAGAGAAGAAGGGGATGAAGAAAGAGAGAGATACCACACATAGTAAAACTAGATGTTAAGGGGAATTCATATTCACTGTATTTAACATATTTTCCCTCCAACAGTGGGATGCCAATCAGACTTTTAAATCAAGGTTGTTTCCCTTTCAGCAACCAATAACAAAAACAAAACATGCCAAATGCAAGATGTATAGCTGAGGAATAGCATGTGTTATAGCAAACAGACGTCTTTCATCACTTGAGAGGACACCACTTTTAAGAACAGGCTCAGTATAGCGTCTAATTTTACCCCATGTCACTTTATCAACTAGTATTGGCCTGTTGTCACATTGGATATGAACATCCAGTGACAATAAGAATATAGGTTAAGAACAATCTTACATGAAGCAAAGTTCCGCTGACCCAATGGAGATTTTAAATTCACACCAGAAAGCCATTGAAGGGATTGAGATTACAATCCAACACTCACTTACCAGAGGATAAGCCCCACTAAACAGAATTGGACTTTAATTTCCACAGAGACAATTCTGCTGACTTCTCTTAAGCAATTTTAGTCCTGATAGAATGGCATTAAAATCAGCACAGCATACTAAAAAGCTGTTCAGCTGGGGCTTGGCTGGCCTCTGGGGATCTGCGGGCAACCACCACAAAGAAAAACTCCATGCTTCTGACCCCTTGCCTTGATTCTGTTACATTTGGAAATTCTAGAACTCTAACCCTTCACATGGAGGACACACGATGAAAAAGGTGTGCTGCTGGCTCGTTTTCTGTTCCACAGACATCAAAACGGAGCCCTTGTTTTCCTTCTTATGACTATTCCCAGGCAACCATCTGACCCAGATTTCCAAGATCTGTCAGAAGTCGTTTGATGTGGCCCCTGAGCTGCAAAGGAATTACACGATATGCCCCTAAGACTTAACCTTAAATAAAATGTAAAGGAATAGTTATCTCTACTTAAAGAGAGAGAGAGAGCAAGAGAGAAAAGAAAGAAATTAGCTATATGATGGCAAGCAGATCCTATCTGACAATTTGAACAAAAATGCAACACAGGAAATATTTCACTTAAACCTTGCAAGCCTAAGCATTCATAAAACCATGTCTCCTTGAAGCAACTACAAACATCATGCAGACCAGATCGGCGCTGATCAACGTGCACTGGAGGAAACATAACCTGCACTAGTATCCTTACTCATCCACAAACAGCTGGCCCTCTCTCCAATGCTGAAACACAAGAAATAACAAGACGCATGGTCCACCAATCAGCATCACACACCCCACACACTCTTATGTGTGAACAGCAATGAAGATATGGCTGGTCTTTTCCTCCTGCTTAGGCGCAAGGAGCATTTGGACCACAGCAGCATTCACTGGATCTATGTGACCTCCCACTGTAGCATTAGAGTGGGAAGCTAAGCAGGTAGAGTCCAACACATATGATCTCAATCCACTCACTTTTGCCTTTCCTGGCTGTTGGCAGCTTTTCAAGTAATCAGCATTCCCTCTGATTTTCTGACCAGCTGCATGGGAGCCTCACTCTGTGGGTGGGGCTTTATTTGAAATGGGAAGTAAACACACTAGCTGCTGACTGCCCATGTGCAGCCCTGATGGAGCTCTGGCTGAATGCATGTGTGCGCAGCTTAGAGGGAACATTGCATGTAATGATAACCAATGAGCAGAGAATGTTACATGGATCCAAGTCCTGGCTGAGGGAATAGGAGAAGAGGACTGGATAGTCCAATCATACTCCCAAACTGTTGTCTATCTAGAGCTCATTGGCTAGTCCTTGTTATAGATTTCCCATCAGGGAATACAACTATCAATATACAGTATATATTTTTTAAAAAAAGGTCCTTTACCCTGCTTTAAGGGATAGGCTTTAGTCTTCCAAGAAGGAGGAATGGAATGATTATATCACTATTGTAGTGTGTCTGTGATGCAGGATGGGTCAGCAAGCTGTCAGTTCTACTCACAATCGGAGAAGCCAAGCAACACAAGAAAGTGAGGCAAGGAGTGCCATATCAGATTTGTGGAGACAGGCAAAGCGGTAAGGTAGAATTCTAAGCAACATTCAAAGGACATATGTTAAAAATGAACATGGGAAAACTCCCCCCCCCCCCAATTAATCAGAGTCATTATAGCACTATCAGCAAAAGTCGAGCAGTCGCTCGTTATTTTAACCAAATGATACATCAAAGCAATCTGATGAGATGGATTATATTTAACAAAAGCTAAAGCTAAAAAAATGTTAGTGATTCAGGTTTCTTTGCTGTTTCTAATGAAACAACCTAACACAGCCAACCCTTTCAAAGTGCATAGGTCCCCATCAAATTATTTATTTTAAAGAGATTCGGTGCATACAATCTGTAGGTGGACCTTTATATAGATATACACATACAAACAAAGAACGCTATGTGGGCTGAGCCATCACAGAGTAGGAAAAAGTCAATGGCCTACCTCTTCTCTCCATGACAGGGTTGGCCTTTCGAAAGCTAAATTTAACTGAATTGATTTGAGAGCCCCTTTGAAGAGACTTGAAGTATTCACATCTTGAGCTGTTTTCAACCTACACAATCCCTTTAATCACGATTTGGAGAATCACATGTTCAGTTTCTGTTTAGAAGCCCGTTTTGCTCTTTTCTTTCAATAGCACAGCCTCTGACAAATTCCATTCCGACCACCTCCATCTACTATCGCTGAAGGATAATGGACTTAATTCCTTTCCTTTATTTGCATCACTAAACCATCAAATTGTGGAACCTGTTCAAATGCCTGTTTGTATGGGTTGGGTTAGGGCGGGAGCAAATTTTGTTCTGTTTATGTACTGAAATGAACTTGCGAATTTTGCATTTTTCAAATCAGTGTGTAAACCAGAATGCAGTTGTTCTTTTCCTCCTGCTCAGTATTCATACTCTTTTGGATCTTGCAAAACACTTTTCAAAACCAAAAATACTTACAAAAGCAGATATACTAGAACAAGTTGCACACAAAATCAACACCACCACATTACTCTGAATATACCAACCTCATTTGATGTTGGAAAGCTAATCAGGGTCAGGCCTGGTTAGTACCTGAAGAAGAGACTGCCAAGGAATACTAAAGATATTTCAGGTACAGCTGGGACAGAATTTTGCGTGAAACCTTGAAGAGATGTGCTAGTCACAACTGACAATACTAGAGGGACCAAGTTTTGACTCAGTAAAAGGCCGTTCCCTAATGAGTATATTCAGGAAACACATGCATAGGAACATGTACATTACTTAGAGAAACACTGTGCTCAATTATACAAGAAAAACTGTCTTTAAAAAAGAATATCCTTGGCAGAAGTGCATACTAGAGGTACACATAATACATAAATATGACTACGTATTAATAAATGCGATCTTATTTTGTAATTTGAAGCAACTTCCCTTCTGAAGCTTCTAAAGAGGTGCCAAATCTTTATTTTATTGATCAACAAATCACATAAAAGTCAAATGACCAATTTAAGCATCTTTAATACATTTAGCACCTAACTGTGAAGCAGTCCTCTTCTGGCTGGTCTTTGGAAACAAACATTCTATGTCTTATGGCTGTGGTTCCCAGTCTTAGGTGCCCAGATGTTCTTGGACTATAACCCTCAGAAACCCTGGCCAACAAAGCTAGTGGTAAAGGCTTCTGGGAGTTTCAGTCTGGGAAGCCAGGTTTGGGAACCACTGTCTTAGGGATATTTAGTATCTCACACCTTTCAAAATATTTTCTTCTGAGTTTGGAAACGTTACTTTTTTATACTACAATGTGATGACTCTCTCAACCTGCTGAGCTAATGAGGACATTAATTCATGGGTTCTGAGAGATGTAGTGGGGAAAAACAAACCACTGGACAGAATCTTGTTGGTGATTTATGACTGTGTAAGCTAAACTGTGTAATTCTCTGCAGTGAAATGCTGCTGAGTAACCAGGAGCCAGCTGCATTTCTAGGCTTTTATCTGTTGCACAACTAGCTGACAGTATATCTCATTACATGAATGGCACCGTGTTAATTACTTAAGTTATGAGTTTACCTTATGCATATGTACATTACTAACACACTTCTGCCCATCCTTTTCAAGCTCTGCTTCTGAAGGGATTTAAAAAATAAGATATAAATGGGCAAAATTTGCCATCATATGAAGATCAATATTGGCATCCCCTGTGTGACTGGACCAATCTGCATGATCACCCAATAAGGACAGAAAATAAATTTGTTAGAACAGAGGTTTTTTCCCCTCAGAAATATCTGTTTTGCACCTCCCAAGATCCACGGCAAAGCGGAACACACTTTGCCTTGCAGATTCACACATCTTTAGAGGCTTGCAGTACATTTCTGAGAAATTCAGTTTGCACAAAAACATGTACAGTTTTAAAATGCCTGAAAGTCTCTTTACAATGCATTCAAAGATGTGTCTATGAATGGAAATGCTTATGGAAAGTGTAAATAATGTAAATATAATTTCATGCAGAGAAAAAAAAGCTGATCAGAAGAAAGAATGGGACAAGAGTTCAGGTAGAATTCAGAGCATAATAACATCTTTACCTCTCCCCCCTTTTTTTACATCCTACTGCCCATCCCTTTATCACATGGTAGCTAGTAGTGGAGGCATCTGCAGTCTGCCTGCCATTGTTAAATTCTCAGTAGGCTCCAGAGTGAAGCTATGTTAGAGCACTGTGGAAGATTGCACTGCAGGTTGTGACATTGCTTCTCCTGGTTGTTAGAGATCTTCTCCTTCTCTGTGGGTGCCTTTGTGAGTGGGTAATGAGACAGCCCTTTGAACCTAGAGGTGACCCTCTTGGCTCTCTGATCTACAGAGCCCAAACAGCCAGGGGCCATGATATCTGGAGAAGAACCGTGTCCCATATGAACCTATCCATTCATAACAACCATTATTTCCTTAGTTCCTTCCTGCTTTCTGAAATTAAACAGAGGATGTCAGGCAACTGGCAATTATGTTTCTCTCATGAAATTTTGGGATGCTCACCACAGGAATGTCTACCTGGCATCTATGTCACTTCATTTGGGTGTAAGGTAAAGCCTCTTCTTTTCTCATACACTATAATGCCCATTCTGCATCTATTGCTGTTACAGTCCCCAGTTTTGAATCAGTGGAATATTTACGCTGAGTTGATAACTTTATGTATTTTATTGGGAAGTACATGCTTCGATTATTGGAAGGTGCCTTTTAAGGAAAAAGTAGGGCGAGCACATTTTGAAGGAATAACTTCAAGAGAGAGTGTTGCTTATTGTACTCTTATCCACCATAAGCTTTCAAGAATCAGTATTTTTTGAGGTGGGGCTTTTTTGTGGTGCTGCTAGTAGCTCCAGAGAAGAGCTCTCTGGAAAAACTGGAACCGTCCGGTCCGGGATCCCCTTTTTGAAATGGGGATTGAAGGAGAGTCTAGGAGAATTCTCATTGAAGCAGTTGGTGAGCAGCAGAAGGAGAAGAAAGGGATGCAAACCCGGACTTCTTCCCTCTGAAGAAATCACCCAGCACGGATCGGAGGTGGGAGCCATATTGGCACGGAGCCGTGAGTAACCCTTTACCGGAGGAGAAGAGAACAACCAATATAATGTTAAAATATATAACAACTAAGTAAGCTGAAGTGTTTGGTTTATGAAACAGCCCCATTAAGCTGAAATAAGAATGAAAATATTTGGCTGAAAGAAGAAAAGCAGCAGCGAGCCTATCTTATCAGTCTGCCTCAAAAGCGAAACTAACTCTTAATACAACAGGCTGTTTTCAAAGCTGAGAGAGTGAGATGGAAAAATAAATCTTGTGTTTCTGAAAAAAAATCCCAGAAGGTAATACGAGCGGACAGGATTCAAGAGACTTGAGTTTTGTGAATGCAGTTTGGCTTGGACGTATTTTTCTTTTCCCTTTCCTGGACTCTGTGAACTTTTGATAATAGAATCTGGTGGTTTTCTGGAGAAGAAAGAAGGAGCTGACATGGTCGACTGGACTGAGGAGTATCAACGGGTTCATGGAAAGATCATGACAGGCTTCAAGGACAACTACTGAACAGTCTGAGATTCTGTGACTGTTGTTTGGTTTGTCAGACTGCGTGTGAGTCTGATAACAGTAGCTTGCTAGACTCGGAAGAAGAAGAAATAACTGTGCCACGGTTCTATTTGAATTTGAAAGTTGATTTTTATATTATAATATTTGGATAAAGATTGGAGGGAGATCTAAGGGGAGGTTTATGATTATGGGTTTGGATTGTTGATAAAATTGTAGAAACTGTTGAAG